CTTGGCAATATTGATGACCTCCACCAGTGAAGTGATTCGCTCTAATGGGACGCTCAGAAAGAAATTGTTTAGAAAGAAGTCCTATGCTGGGATAATACTCAATTTCCTGTCATATCACAATTACAGTCTAAAGATAGGGATAATGAGGAGCAAGATCATCCGAAGCCTACGCCTAACGGATGTAGAGTTCTGGGATGAGGAGCTGGACAAATTGACGAGGATATTCCTCGGCAATGGCTACCCTAGCGAAGTGATACAAAGAAGCATACGGGCCGTGAAAAGCCGATGGCAGAACGGGGACTATGAAAGAACAATAAGGACGATGAAGGATTCACAAAAGTGGATATGCTTACCTTCCTGCGAACTAACTCAAAAACTACGGAAAATATTGAGTAAATGGGATATTCTAGTGGCCATTAAAGAGTAGGGAAGAGAGGAAGATTAGGGAGGCCATTGGCATCCTTGGGGCGAAAAATCTAATGAACAGGAGATTGGAGGAAGGTAAAGTTAGCGATAATTCTGCCTACTGCCTAAGCAAACTTGAGGAAAACAAGACTAGAGCAAGACGAGCAAAAAGGAGACGCCTGGATCAAGGATCTACCGCTAACAGGAGGAAAAGGGATCGCGACGAATAAAGGGGGGCAGGGGTTTTCAGCAATAAAGCGAATACGTTGTCAGTTAGTGATCTCCATTTCGAATAAACCAGTACAACTTTGGGGGCCTGGCAGTCAGGGAGCTGGGCAGATGGATAAACAAACCGTCACGGAAATCGGCGTTGTGGCCAAAATACACTAGAAATCCACTTGAGATGGCGCATGCGACCAGAGATAGGCGTCCACAGTTTGCTCAGATAACATGGGTTTAATCAAGGAGAGGACCCGTGAAGAGAAGGCCTGATATTTGCAAGCATGGCAGTCAGAGCTAAGGCGCTTTGCTTAGTAAAGCGGCAGTGTACGTGCTTCTAAGGCCTTGAGAATTAGCGCCTGGAGTGAAATGCACATAGGAGCTGGAACCCAGTGAAATCGGTCAACCAGACAGAGAATGGATGGATCTACGGGACTATGAGGGGGATCCGGATTGGTGGCCCGAGTCGGATCAGTCGATCGAAAGAGAGGGGTCGGGGTAAATATCAAGTGAGATGAGGCCACACTAGATTTGCTACTAAAGAGCACACATTTTTGACGAGTGGAATGTAAACAAGTATTATTCGATGCGGAGATTGGCAAAACTCACTGATGATGCCGACTAAGATGTTGGCGAAACGGTTTTACAATGTACCAAGTCCACTGTCTGATGCTGGGAATCATGACAACTACTATGGCAGACGACATTGGACAGAGGCGTTCTACTAAGTCGCCCTGACAACAAGACCAAGTTGCGACAACGAGGTCAACCCACTTGCTTATTTTATTTCGTTTTTGAGTGGGTTTTCGTCGATTGCCATGCCAAACATTTGCATACAATCTCTAAGACTATTGACCTAAATACTTTGGCATGGTCATAGTTGTCTCTCGGATTTTGCCTTTTCTGGGCTTTGCCGCACCGCACTTGACAGATTTTAGTCATTCTATAATAGTTATATAGTGATGAATCTTACGAGTAAAGTAAGGGTACCTGGTATCTGACAATTTAGTTACTCAATATATACTTCTACAGAAAACGTAAAAAATGTGGTCTCTTTTTTGTCTTGCTTTTCGGTTTGCAAATTAACAATAACTTATGGCCTCTCCAAGATCGGGCTCCAATCTTGACTTAGCTTAGCTTACTCATTGCCGTCCAACTACAGTTTAAACCAAGAGCTGTGGATTCATGGACAGATTAGAGTCATTTTTATGCGGCTCTATCGTATTGAAAGAATGCCTATCAGTCAATCCATTAGTAAAGTAAATTGAACCTCTGTACTGTTTTATAGCCGCCATGAGAAGTTTACTTCAACATCTGCATTCAAAGGTCTACACTTAGGGCACAATCAGAAGGGGTAGTTTCATTTTTAAGGATAATTTAGAGGTATTCGGGATACGAGTTTATTTCTTGAGGTTCTAGTCTATTTGTATTTATTGTGATTGGCTTTCTTATTTTTATCATTTTCAGTCGCCGGTGCCTGATAGTGACATGGCTCTTGCCCTCAACCGCTACCTCTGCAATAATGTTCTGCCGTTGCTGACTCGACGCGCACACTTTTTAAACAGTAGCTATCGCGAAAGCAGTGTCGGAAGCACTGTCGGAGGGGACGTAGGAGGAGTTGCTGGCGGTGGCGGCCTGCTTGAGGCAACTTTACACACCGCCTACCGAATGTCCAAATGTCGTGCCATCACCAACAATCAGATGGCCGCACTTAGTCAGTTTTTGGTTGCATTGATCTATCAGATTGACCCACCAATGATGACACGACTGCTCAAAAAGATGACTTTAGATATGCGCAATCTATCTAAAGATGTGAGTGTGAAGTATTTATTTGTCTTTATTTTCCCTCTTATCTATTATTGATATAATAGCGTAATAGGAAAATACTACTGTAACATGGTAAAGTAATATTTTGATTAAAATATCAGTTTCACTTGCTAATTCTGTTTCTAGTATCAACTCACATAGTCCCTCTCTTGGTGGTCAGGACTTTAGAACATGCTGTGGCGAAGAAGGCATTATTCTTCTTCCATTTTCTTTTAGGCTAAAGTGTCTATTAGTTTCTAAATAATTATTGTGACATGACTCAATTTCGAATGAAAAGCTGGTAGGAAGGAATTCGTGCTGTGGTCTCACTGGAAACCTAAAAAGGATTGCCGAGTAGGGAAGACTTTTGAAGTGTGCGATGAGGTCCTCGGCTCACCTTCCTGCGACCCCGATGAAACTGTGCTAAGCTTTCGTCTGTCCTCTCCGTGACAAGCATCATCAGAGCAAGATTCCACACTTTACAAAATAGAGCAAAATTATGCTCAACTAAGAGAAAAGGCGGCTGGCTGCAACCCTAGTCTCTTCTTTTATACACCTAACCTTGTTAACTTAATGAGGCATCCCATGATTCGATTGGTTATCTCAAACTTACTCTACATTCTTGCGCATAGATAAAGTTACTTCACGAATCGGAAGTGTGTTCGATAGTAGCTGTTTCCTTGCAAAAATAAACTAGTGTACGATCATCTAATGTTAAATCATATTTGGGCTTGTGCTATTGTCTACTGTCTTACGTAATGTTCATGTCATGGGAAGTGGGCTAGTCCGAGTTAGACTCGAGTCTTATCCACCCTCCTCTTGTTAAGGGCTCTATCTTCACTCGCTCCTTTTCCTTAAGTCTATCCAAGAGCCACATAAAGTTCCTACTTAGTTTTCTACACTCGTTTCTTCTATTCAGGACGTTGGCTGTTTTGTTAACTATTATAGATTCCATAATCTTATGCTTTGATATGAAGTCTTCGTAACCCTTAAAACAATGTATTTTGGATAAATCTATCGAGCATCCTGTATAAGCCATGGTTTCAGCGAGCTCAGATTTTTGGACAAAAACCTTTACATGCGGTTTTGTGTTCGCATGGTCTCTTCTGGATTGGTCGGTAGGTCTCTCTCACATGGGCCTTACCACTTAAGAACAAAACCTTGTAACAGCCTGATCTAGAAAGGGGGTCTGAAAATTCCCTAGACGAAGGAACTAGTGAAGAAAGTTTTAATTTCTATTTTTACATTGATCTTATGTTCCATTTCCTCAGTAGTTCATCCAACTTTTACGCAAGCTGACAGAAAGGCAACATTAGGAAACGAGTAAGATGGTCAAATTGTCTATCTCGTCCAGATAACAAACTCCTCTCATTTTGTTAACGATAATTGAGATGTAATTTTCTGCAAATAATGATGGCTAATTGTTTAGAAGCAGTATATATGCCCCAGTCTACCGATCTGCAGATCCCTGAGGTTTACGTCCACTAGATGCAGATACCTTATTATCACTGGCTCTAAATGTATGGTTGGAGAATAACTTAAGAAGGAAACCCGCGTGTTGGGTTGCTATAAACGTCTCTGCCTAACTTATTATCTTCCGTGCTCACTGATAGATCCAAAAATGACAATTTATTTTCCTTATCCTAACTCCATTATAAGTGAATGAATAAAAGTTTAGAAGGTCGATCTCACCAGAAGAGGACGGGTGAATTGTGTTGTACTGCAGCCGTTTGGCTTTTATACGGCGTCCAGGTTGACGCAGTCTACGAGAGCTCCTCCCTCGTTACAAGTGTAAACGGGCTGAGCTTTTGTCCATCATATGAAGGACGTCATTAGAGCTGGATCTCATTCTTGCAAAGGTAT